GCTTAGGCTCTGATATTTGGCACATGATTTTGATACAATATTTTATTATGATGATTTGACATACATTACTTATGTTCTTTTTATGAGATGACAAATGGTATTTATGGTTTTATAAATAATTAAAACAAAATTTTTGGACCGTATTTTTGGGATGTTTCATAATTTCATATCATCATTACTCTTTCCACGTCTTAATGTGATGGCACAAGCTTTGTGCCTCGGTTTACTTTCAGTTTAGAAGGACAACTTTTCTTGAGATTCCATTTTGCTTACGGGAGTGACAAGCTCTGAAATTTGTTGCTCTAAGTTTTTTAATGTTTGCCTTTGTCTCTTGTTGGAAGGATTGAGTGCTAGTTGCCAAGCTCTTGACTATGTCCTCCAAGGACATACTTGATGAAGCTACTTATTGAGGTGAATGTTGTGGTTGCCTTGGCTGAAAATTTTGAGGTTGGAATGGTGGTCTTTGTTGGTAAGGGGGTGGTTGTCTCGGTTGATAACCCATGTTTTGATTTTTGCTCCACTCTTGATTGCTTTGTGGCTGATTGAAATTCCTTTGATTTTGCCGGGAATAAACTCCCATTGGTTGCACTTTTTTCCATATCTTCTTGTATTTGTGGGCACATATCGGTTGGATGTCCCACTTGAGTGCAAATACTGCAAGAACGGGGTGTGGGTTGCACACCTTTGTCTTTGGCAAGCATTTTGACCACCTTTGTTAGCTCGGATAGTTGAGTTCTATTTAAGGAGTATTCACCTCTTTTACACCTTGGGGTGCATCTACGTACCATTCTTCGTCTTGCGTTGAATGCTTGGAATCCTTCGCCATATTTTTTACAAGATTACGGATCTTGGTTGGGATCTTATCAGACTAGACCCTCCACTTGAGGCATTGGAAGCCTCATTTCCCATGTAGTCATTTACATAACTTCAAGGCCATGGAGTCTACAATTGGAGATTCAATTCTTATACCTGCCTAAAGAACTTTTGAGCCATCAAATCGAGTGGATTTTTGGAGAGTGGAAAATTCATGAAAAATATTTTTGTCTGATTGCTCGTAAGTCGATGTTATATAACTCTCAATCAACAAAACAACGGTACTAGAACTTCCATGGAACTTGGCTTCAATTAGAGTCTTCATATGATCGATTTCTTGTAAATATCATCCTCGGTTAATTAGGAGTTCAATAAAAACTTATGAAGAAGACGAAGATGAAGAACTTCCCATTTAGGCGTGAGAGAGAGAGAGGAAGCATATATATGGGTGATTTCTTGAGATTTTATCCCTAGTTTTGTGAGATCGTGTTTATGAAAAATGAAAAAGATAGATTAGGATAAGATTTCATTAGCAAAGAACATTGGCTTACAAAATAGATGGTAATTCAAAATGGAAAGGCGAAAATTATGGAGTTAGGTGATTTGATTTTCAAAAATGGAAAAGTGAAATTAAGGGGGAGATAGTTGTGATATGGGGATGAACCAGAAAAAATTAGCTTACAAAACAGATGGTAATTCAAAATTCAAGTTATAATTCTGAATGGAAAAAGAACAAAATTTATAATTCTAATTTTTGATGCTAAGAGCAGGAAAAAAAATTCTAGAAACATATAAGAGTGACACATGTTAAATACATAGTTTTGAATTGTGCCATATGGCACGTTGGGATTTAGACAGATAGTATAGATTAAAGCAGACATATAAATCATATAAACAATACATAAGTCTAAAATGCTATTTTGTAGTGGGTCACTATTTCACAACCCATTTGTAGGATTTTCCTAGGTATAAAGTGTTGTTTCTAGATTTTGCAATGACCACTAGGGCTGTAAAAAACCGAACGTTTAGTGAACCGTTCGTGAAACGTTCAGTGGGTGTAACGTCCCAAAAATCATAGTAATTTTTTTCCTTTTAAAAGACATTTCCATAAAATCTATAAAGTATTTAAATCATTGTTTCAAGACAAAACCATAAAATCTGAGTATCAATAACATCTCTCAAACATAAAACAACAAGATAGTGTGTACGATCACACCTTCGCCTTCCTCCGATCCTCTAAAGTACTTGAAACATTTAAATCCAAAACTGTAAGCCAAAGCTTAGTGAGTTCCCCCAAAATACCCCACATACAATGTATGCATACATGAGCCTTCAGTCTTCACGGACCGCCTTGCAAGGCCTACAAGATGTCTGCACCGCTCTACCGAGCCTACAATCTAACTGGACTGCCTCACAAGGCCTATGGTATAGCTGGACCACTCCTTTGGGCCTAAACACTGATTGGACTGCCTTACAAGGCCTATAATACATCTGGACCGCCCGGGTATCTTGGCCTACAACACAAAGAAGGACCGCCTGAACCCAACCACAATATGTCTACATATGTAAACAGATAAACAATAACCAGCAAAGCACAAGTAATCATAACAGATCTACTAATCTAACAGATCACTATAACATACCAACATCCCACACACAAGGATACATACTGCAGTACAAAGTATAGAGAGAAAACTCACTTCGTAGTCTAGCAAATAAAAAGTGCAGCTCGCACAATCCAAGAATTGGTACTACGAGTCACCTATACAATAATCAGGAACCCATTCTCAATCCATAGCCTAAAAACCCTCAAGTTGATCAAAAGTCAACTTGGTCAGAAATTCAAAAGTCAATGGTCAAAGTCAACGGTAAAAAATCCATCAGTCGGTCACCACGTCATGGCTAAGCATTTTCCACGACGTGGTGACCTCATGACAAAACAGTCGTGAAGACCACTTAACGCCACGTTGTGAGAGCTAAACCTCCACATCGTGGGAATTGTTTTGACCAACTTAATGCATTAAGCTCTTAATCCTTCAAGTTATATATCCATACTTTCCAGGAGGCTTTCTCACACCCAATGGGTCATAAAAATCGATGCTTTATAGACATGCATGTCCAATGCATGTCTTGAACTCTAGTTAGGTAAAAAAATGACGAAAATGAGGTTAAAACCTCATGCAAGGAATCAAACTTCAGATCTGGAACATATAACCAGAAGAGGACCTGAAGAATCCATAAATTTGCCAACTTTATGGAATCCAACCATACAAACTAACACAAACATGAAGAACAAGGCATAAAATCCTAGATATAGAAGCATGTGACATAAAGATTGGAACTTAAAGACTCACAATGGTCCAAAATATGAGTAAGAATATGGAAGAGGAGCTTGCTTGCTGGATCTACACTCAATGGACACCTTCTTCTCCTTCAAGGCACCAAAATTACCACAAAAGCTTCAAAAACTCAACAATGGGGCTAGGGTTTGTTTGTTTGGGGGTGAAAGGGATGTATGGAGGCTGAGTGTGTGCAAACCCTAGCCATCACATCCCTTAAATAGGGCTTAAGGACCAAAAAATTAGGGTTTGCATCCACATGGTTGCCACGTCGAGGCCAATATCTTGCCACATTGTGACACTCAAAAGAAATGCTCGTTTCATCGAGTGTCGCTACGTCGTGGTGCTATCATCACCACGTCGTGGCCACCACAAAAATCTTGTATTTTAAGCATTAAATGTCCACAAACACAAAAATAATTATACCTTGAACTTGGTGTTATAGTGGGAAGTTCTTTTATGTTCGTTTATTTAATAGATGAACAAACATGAATACAAATTTTCGTTCGTTTAGTTAACGAACGAACATGAACAATAGTCTCATTCGTTCATTTATGTTCGTGAACGTTTGTTTATGTTGTTCATTTACGTTCGTTTATGTTCGTTTGTTTATATTTATTTATGTTCATATATGTTTAATTGTTTTTTATTGCATTACTATATTATATTTTCGTTTATGTTCATATATATTCAATTATGTTTGTTTATCTTTGTTCGTTTATGTTCGTTCGTTTATGCCCGTTTAACATGTTCACGAACATAAATGAACGAACATGAGGAAGATAATTTGTTAAACAAATGAACACGAACAATAAAACTCGTTCGTTTATCCGTTCGCTTGTTCGTCTAATTTAAACGAACGAACATAAACAAGCATGTTTTCATGTTCGTTTGCTTCGTTTACAGCCTTAGTGACCACCTTTATTTATTAGCGACCCCACTGCTAAATGGTTGGTTATTTGCGGCATATCACTTAATTTTGGATGGTTTCTATTTTAAAAAAACAAAAAAATTGGTTATATTTGTTGTTTTTTATATATAAAATACCGAAATAAAAAATAATGTAATATTAAAAGTCATATGACCAAAATTAATCAATCCGTTATGTACTTAAAAAATATGTATGCATACACATCATTCACATATTGACGCATCAAAATTAAAACGGGGTGATGATATTATAACAAATTTATCCATAGTAAATTACAATCAACTAAAGGGCCAGATGCAAAGTCATGATATTAAATTCCTTAATGCTATGGTCAATGTATAATATCCGAAAAGAAGTCATTAAAAAGAAAGAAAACATAAAGTATTAGAATTATTCGTACCAACTGTTGAGGTCACGACAAATCAATAAGATCTTTAAAGCCCATACAGATCTCTCGTAGTCAAGAAAATAATGTTTTAAACTTTTTAAGTACGTACGCTAACCGATTTGTTATCAGACTTGAGATTCCCGGTTAGATGTAAAATAACATATAACATATAAAATAACATATAACATATAAAATAACAACTTTCAAATTTAATTTAAAGTAACTTTTGGGTGATAAGCTATTTGTTTAAAATAAAAACCATTGTATTCATGATTTTTTTTTTAACTTGGTATATTTTTATCATATTATAAAACAAGATATTTTGGGTACTATTAGTTTTTGCAAGTCGGACCATGAGCATGTGCCAGGTGTCGCACATGGCTGGTGTCATGAAGGGGTCCGAAAATTAAATATGTCGTTAATCCATTTGTAATCGTGGCTAATTGCTAACCTGTCACTAATTCGCTGTTAATCCATTGCTAATATATCGCTAACATGAAATTTTAGGGGCTTATTTTCACTCTTCGCACAGGGGTTTTCAAAATCAACGAATCCACCCGCCATAAGTTTTGATTATATAGTTCATCAACTTTTTTAAGAAATAGGTTTTGGTGAGTTAAGTTTTAGTGATACTAAAACATAAATTATTTATTATTGTAAACTAATCAAACAAAAAAACAGAAGGATAAGGAAATTGTTTATATTATATATATCATGGAAGACCCAAAGAGGTAATCATATAATCCCCCAATCTGCTTCATTCTTCTTCCTAATATTTCTGGTATCCTATCCTATCCCAGCAGTGTTAATCATGTCGGAATCTCTTCTTGCTGAGCAGCCCTATAGGACGGCGTTTCACTTCCAGCCTCCGCAAAACTGGATGAACGGTGAGATTTTCTTTATATATAATTTTGACTTTTCTTAATCTTCTTTTTCTTCAGCTTTGACTTTCCTCATGTACATGTTCTAATATCGCATTAATGGTTTTGTTGATCTGTTATGACGAACATGGCATATGACTGATTGCATGGCACAGATCCTAATGGTAAGTATTATCATTTTGACTTTTTGTTTCCTAATTTTGATTGTTTTTTTATACTTGTTATGTTGTAAATCAAATGTTCAATGTATTTGTTCTTGATTAAAAAAGCTTATAGATTACTTTCTTTATTTGCTTCCCATGTCTTTCCATATTTATTGAAATAAAGTTGTGGAAATAAAATAGCATCAAATTTTGATTCCCATAAAATATATCGACTTTCTCTACGTTCCCGTCCAAAATCACTTGTTTTGTCGTGTAAAAGATTATGTACTTTCTTTAAGAAAATAATTTAAGTTGCTTGTAATTAAAAAACCGATTCGGGCCATATCATGAGTATAAAATAGTCAATTGCATATAAGGCCAACTTTGAACTTTTTTCTGCTTAAAGTAAAGAAACTAGTATTCGGTAAAACGTTAAAAACTATTTAGCTATTGACTGGTAGTTAAAAAAAACATTTACTTGACAATGATTAATTATAACATTGTAGATCTCACCATCACCTTGTGTTCTCTCATCATCTTCGGATTCTCAGTCGTTTCTACTTAGTCTTTCTTACTTCCCCATAAGGATTTCCAACCCAACATAAACTTTCATTTATATATATATATATATATATATATATATATATATATATATATATAGAGAGAGAGAGAGAGAGAGAGAGAGAGAGAGAGAGAGAGAGAGAGAGAGAGAGAGAGAGAGAGAGAGAGAGAGAGAGAGAGAGTCAAGATCAAATAAGAAGGAAATTTTTGGTAGGAAGGTAAGAAGTTTTTTTTCTACATATTTTTTTAGCGAACAAACAAAATGAATCATTACATGATTCATTTGTAAGATGATTCACAAGAAAAAATTCTCAAAAAAACATCTCGATGATTCATTTATACAATGATTTTGTTGTTATTCACTAAAATTGTCATAAAAATAAATTTTTTCTTAATTTACTTAAAAATGAATCATAAAGATGTTTTTTTGGGAATTTTTTCTTGTGAATCATCTTACAAATGAATCATCTAGTGATTCATTTATTTTGTTCGTCAAAAAAATATGTAGAAGACATATAAAAAGTCTTTAATTCCCACATAGCTTCTAACCTTAAACCACAATGAAATGGTAAATATCTTTTCAAAATAGTATATTCCTATTCAAAAAGTTAAGTAACGAAGTCTATCAAAATTCATTGGTTAATCACCAAATCTGTAAGCAGCTAACTTAGATTGCGATTGCAAATATTTCTAAATTCTAACTGTAGATCCATGTATATATGTATCCAGGGCCAATGTGCTACAATGGAGTATACCACATGTTCTATCAATATAACCCTTTTGGCCCACTCTTCAATTTACGAATGCATTGGGCACATTCCGTATCACGCGACTTAATCAACTGGATCCATCTAGACCCGGCCTTTGCTCCATCCGAACCTTTCGACATCAATGGTTGCTTGTCTGGTTCTGCTTCCATCATCCCCGGGGGAAAACCTATTATGTTATACACCGGAATTGACACTGAAAACCGCCAAGTCCAGAACTTGGCCTTCCCCAAGGACTTATCAGATCCCTATCTCAGAGAATGGGTCAAGCACACCGCTAATCCAATCATCAGCCTGCCGGAAGAGATTCAACCGGATGATTTCAGAGACCCGACCACCGTCTGGCTTGCAGAAGACGGGAAATGGAGATTACTCGTCGGAAGTCAGAGAGATAAGACCGGAATCGCGTTTCTTTACCATTCTGACGACTTTGTTAATTGGACTAAATCAGATTCGCCATTTCATAAAGTTTCTGGGACCGGAATGTGGGAATGTCCTGATTTCTTTCCTGTGTGGGTTGATAGCACAAATGGTGTGGATGCATCTGTCATCAACCCTAGCAAACGGGTAAAGCATGTGTTGAAACTGGGAATACAAGATCATGGAAAAGACTGCTACTTGGTCGGGGAATACAGTCCAGAGAAAGAACACTATGTTCCCGAAGATGAATTAACGACTACTACTTTGAGGCTTGATTACGGGATTTACTACGCTTCCAAATCGTTTTTCGATCCTGTGAAAAAACGAAGGATCATGACTGCTTGGGTGAACGAGACTGATTCTGAAGCTGATGTTATCGCTAAAGGATGGTCAGGAGTTCAAGTAATCGATCGATCGAAGATTAATTTCAATTATTTATCCTTCTTATTATACGTACACATGCTATAAGATAATAATGAATTCACTTATAAAATACAGGCGTTTCCGAGGAGTATTTGGCTCGACAAAAACCAGAAGCAGCTCCTACAATGGCCTATCGAGGAAATCGAGATGTTACATGAAAATGAAGTAAGTTTTCAAAATAAGAAGCTTGAAGGTGGTTCGTTACATGAAATTCAGGGTATCACTGCTTCTCAGGTAATTAGCCATATAAGTCTAAGTAACTTTACTTAAATTCCATTTAGGATTCTTTAATTTGGGCTAACAATTGGTTAATTATTTGAAAGGCTGATGTGAAGATTTCGTTCAAACTGGCTAATTTAGAAGACGCTGAAGAAATGGACGCGAGTTGGGTTGATGATCCACAGCTTATCTGCAGCGAAAATGATGCATCAAAGAAAGGCAAATTTGGACCCTTTGGGCTGTTGGCTTTGGCTTCCAACGACTTGACCGAACAAACTGCAATCTTTTTTAGGGTTTTAAGAAAAAACGGACGATATGTCGTGGTAATGTGCAGTGATCAAAGCCGGTAGGTATTCCACGATTGAAGTATCTGTATGTTATTCAATTACTAACGAATTACATTCCAAACCTACAAATCCCAGGTCATCCACGAAGGACGGGATTGACAAAACGAAATATGGAGCATTTCTGGACGTAAATCCTCAACAAGATGAAATTTCACTCAGAACCTTGGTTCGTAAATCTACTTGTTTTGTTTTTGTTATATATGTTTTTCTATGTGAGGTGTAATGTACGTAGTTTAATTGTTTGATCTTGGATTTCTACAGATAGATCACTCGATCGTTGAGAGCTTTGGAGGAGGAGGAAAGACTTGCATAACAGCTAGGGTTTACCCGACATTAGCCATCGGAGAAGAAGCTCGACTTTTCGTCTTCAACTACGGAACTGAAAGTGTGGTGATCTCTGAGCTGAGTGTATGGAGTTTGAAGAAAGCTCGATTGAACGTTGAAAAACCCTAAGCTGCATGTACAGATCGATAATCTAAAGAAGATGCACACGTACATGAAGGTGGTTTTAATAATTTGGAAGCAAGCTAATCTGCCTAGAGGATTTGAGTATTTATGACATGATAATAAGACTCCATGGTGAGAATTTGAATGCCACTGCAAATTCGTAACAGCAAAACCTACAAATTTAGTACAAGTTATCGTATGTGTTCATGGATCTTACTCCAATCTGTTATCAAAATAAATCACTCAAATCCGTTTATATATCATTAGTCAACCGTAGAATACAAACACTCGAATTTTACTGTTTTACATGCATGGATCACATTTTATAATTTCCCCCATTTGACCTTGAAGTAGGAGCATAGGTCGTGGACATAGATTTTCTTCCCGATGATAGTCCAACTTGACGGGAGTGAACTGAATCCCGCTTAGTCTCCTGCAAGTCATAAAAAGTCAAAGTGTCAAACCTTTTAAGTCAAACTCCAATTAAAGTATATATAAATTAATTAAGAACAAAAGCAAAACATATCTATACCACATCTAATGAACTCTTCGCCATCATCCTTCCATAACCAGATCCTTCATTAATCGAACCATTAAGTTTCATCCTCGTTTCCTTCTCTTCAACACTTGACTTTCTCGCATTCATAATCTTGTCCACCATCCTACTTCCAAGAAATTGTCCCCCATTTCCCGTTTGAAACATTCTATTGTTACCCTTTTGAACAGCCATGGTGTTCACACTTTCTTCATTAGTAGGCGCCACTTTCCGACCTCTCATAACACTCGGTGAACACGACTGTCTTCTCCCTCTCATACTCAAAACCTCCGGCTTCAGAGGAGCAGCCACGGGAGTGTTAACAGGTCGTCCTCTTGAAGCAGAAGTGGACCGATCTGTCCTTAAATTAGCCGGTGTCTCATCTGAAAAACCAGAAATCCGTGCCGGAATCCTCGACGTTACAAGAGGCGAAACCCCTCGAGTTTTCTGTGAGGTTCTTGGTGACGAATTTGTTATGCTTTTCGACTGATTTGATATGGATGAAGTGGTGTTAGACTTGTTAGTGACATCAGTAATCTTGTTTACACCGGTGATTACCGGGATCGGAGCTGTTTTTATGTTCTTTTTCTGATCAGTGAACAAACCGGTTGACCTACCGCTAGGAGTTACCGATCTCGCTGGAATCCTTGGTTTAGGGTTTGTAATTTTCGCCCTTCCTTCTCCATTGCCTGTTTGCTTTGTTTCCTTCTCTTCTGGTTTAACTGCAAACTGTGGTTATTTAGTGTTAGGCCGAGTTCTTTAGCTTCAGTTTCTTTTTTACCTGTTTACTTAAAGGGTTTGATGAGGGAATGACTCATTGGGTTTACCCTTCTTTTTTTATCCTCACAACTCTTATTAATGAATATTAGGAAAGTTGTTTTTGAAATGTATAAGTAAAATTGTCATTTAGTTTTCTTTAAGGGTTTACTCAATCTAAATAAGAAAAATCATTTTTATCCAACCTGACATCATTACCTATGTTTTAGATAATTATTATACAAATTAAAAATATAAAATGAAAACTGAACATACGCGTGAAAGTGGCTGGATTATGGGCAATTCACGTTGAACGACTAGTTCATGCCCGTTTTTTGTATCCATCTCGAGAGATGGAAAGAGAGGTGTTGCGGGTGGTGTCTTCAACCTTTGTTAAAAAGCACAACAATTACTCTTTTTTATATAAAATTTGAAGCTGTTATATATGCAAAAGTTGGTAAAAAAAGGAGTTACCAGTCGTAGTCGTTTTTCTCGGTTTCTCCAAGGAATCCAAATCCTGGTTTCTTCACGGATGCCATTCCATAGATTGGATAGTTTCCTGTACATTCAAAATGATATCAATATTAATCGTACTAATCGCTTTGAAAAAATAGATAATATAACTAACCATTGGGTTCAAATTCATCGGATACGGGTTGAAGAAGGCTCACAACTCGATCTTTATCGCGTTTATACATCTCCCGGAATAAAACAAGGTCTTCATCTCTGTCTTTTGAGGAGTTAGGTAACGGTGCACTCATTTTACTCCGGCCACCACCGTTCATGGTAGTTTTGTTGGTTGGGGGATGCGGATATGTGTAAGTTGAACTATGATTCCGTTATTGGTTGTGTTAAATAGAGGAGGTTAAGATGGTGATAAAGATATGAACAGATGGCCGGCTGTTTTGATGTGTTCTTTTTAAGGTGATGAAACCAAAGAGTGGTGTTGTCTAGGAATGTTGCATTTGGCAAATTGTGGGTGTGTTTGTTTCATGAAATTGTCAATGGTAGTCTTATGAATAGACATATGAACAAATTTATCTTGATTATTAAAGATACAAAAAAAACATTTTATAGTTTTAATGAATTAAGATATGAAAAATAAACCTTATTTTATTATTGTAAAGAATGTGTTTGGTAAAATAAGATGCAAGCTGTCACTTCATTGCATGAAGAAAACACTCTTAGGCTGTGGGATTGGTCACACTCAACCCACCGAAAAAACATTATCACCTCTGCGCCACGTCAGCTTCACCACCAACCCACTAAACATTGTAAATGGTTACCACTCCATAAATTCTTTTTTATTTTTTATTTTTTTAACATTATATTACATAAAAAACATAAATTAATTTTTTGAAAACATAAAAAAATAAAACCACATTTCATTAATTTAAAACTTAAATACTAAAATTAAACATTACATTGTCTAAATAAAATAAAAATTAAAAAAACATAAAAAAACATAGAGAATTTCTAATCGTCGTCACCGGCATCATCCGCCTCGTTGTCATCGTCCTCATCCTCCTCATCGTCACCGTGCTCATCATGCTTGTCTTCATTGTCATTTTGCCCTTGGAATTGTCTTTCCCATATGTATTCGGTCAAATCATGTCGTACATTGTGATGTGTTTCACGGTTTTGTATTTCCAAAACCCTTGAGAAGTATGCCGGGCTGCCAACTTGTATTACTGCAGGTGGATTAAGTATATCGTTCGTGGTATATGAACAAATAGCCCTACCATCTTCTTCTATTATCATGTTATGTAAAATAACACAAGCACTGAACACTGTCATCAATTTTTTTCTGTCCCATGTTCGTGTTGGATATTTGATTATGTGCCACTTTTGTTTGAGGACTCCAAACGCCCGTTCTACATCCTTCCTTGCAGATTCTTGTGCTAACTTGAACAATTTTCGTTTATCGTCGGCCGGAAATGTGTATGACTTGACAAATGTAGCGTATTCTGGATATATCCCATCACCTAGGTAATACCCATACTTATATTCATTTCCATTGACAACATATGACATGTTTGGTGTTTTACCCTGTAAAATATCGTTAAATATCGAAGATGCTTGGAGCACATTTAGGTCATTGTTTGACCCCGCCATACCAAAGAATGCATGCCAAAACCATAGGGCATGTGAAACAACCGCCTCCAATATAACAATCGGCACCCCATGATCACCTCGCATGAACTGACCACACCACGTCTTGGGACAATTTGCCCACTCCCAATGTGTACAGTCAATGCTACCAAGCATCCCTGGAAAACCATGTTTAGCTTGATGCGCGGCATACAACTGTTCGACATCGCTTTTAATCGGATGTCGCAAGTATATGTTACGGTAAAGCTCTATAACATACTCACAAAATAGATATGTACACTCTCGACCTGTCCTTTCAAACATTTTTAAATACTCATATGATGCGTCTGCGGCGATGCCGTATGCCAATTGTTTAAGAGCGGCCATACATTTTTGTATTGTAGTAAAACCGCGTTTACCTCTAGCATCCCATCGTAATTGGAAAAACTCATAATTACGTGTCAAATCTCTAGCTATACGTAAAAATAAATTTCTACTAATACGAAAACGTTCTTCGAATTTCGATAGATAATATAAACTATCAACGACAAAATAATCATGTACTAAAAGTTCATGTGTCGCCTCTCGATCCCGATTGATCCATTTTCTATGCTTCTTCTCGACGTTTTAACTTTCGCCCCTCTCATGTACCATGTCTCGTGCCGCGGACAACAGCGTATGCAAAATCAAATCCTCATCAGAATCATTATCATCAGATGACGAAGAAATTGAACTTGGAAAATTATCCATTTTTTAGTTGAATGTGTGTGTTTGTTTTGAAATAATATGTGTGTGTTTTAGTGAAAATTATGTGTAAAATGAATGTATATGTAGAGAGAATTTGAAAAAATAATAAAAAGATTTTTTTTTAAATTCACAAACGGTCGAAAAAGGGATTACAACGGTCCAAAATTAAATTGTCCAATCAAAACGTCCGTCTTCACCCATCTTCCGCCTCACGTCACACGCAACCCACTTACCCCTGTGGCGGTGTTCACGCGTCTCCAGGGGGTCCACGTCAGCCCCACGCGTCCTTTCTTGGATCATACAGGAAAGCCTTATAGGATGAATGAAGAAGGAATCATTTTTTTTTAAAATGCGTTGATTCATTTAAATATAATAAAAGAATGGGATTTTTTATTTGAAATTTAATTCTTCTATTTTATTCTTTACCAATTTAATGATTGTCTTTTATAAAGCATTAATTAGTTTTTCTTATTCCATCTTGGTATTTAATTACATTTCAACTTTGACTATTAGTTTTTGCATATCAAACATTTCAACTTTTACTATTAGTTTTTCATATCAAACGTTATATCTAGAGTTTTGCCCTAAAAAAAATCTTTTCTACCCCCATTCCCATGAACTTATAAATTTTTATTGTCCCCCCTACAAGCTTATACAAGCTTATCCTTTGTATAACTTTAATCTACTAAGGTCGGAGGAAGTAATGACAACACCACTTCTGCTATATATATTTTTCTCCACATATTTTTCGTTGTCAAGTAGACGTCACCTTACTTTTGCCATACAATTTAAATTTCTTTTCATTTAGTGGTGTGGTTCATAGAGTTTTTATATTGAAAAAATAAATTAAAAAGTATAGCATTTATAATTGGTTGGTCAAAGAAGTCAAGATAAGGGGAAGGCACGACAACATATTGCCGAAGAGGCTTGTTTAACTTAGCATGTTGCAGTGGAGGCGCAGTGTGCCAAGTGTTGAGTAGACAATTGTCTAGTGGTTGTCGAGACCACTCCAAGTAGCCTAAGAAATTTGAATTTGAAATTGTATTTCACACTAATTGAAATCCGAAAGGAGTTCGCGTCATGAAATGAAATCAAATTCCTTAATGTTTTTTGTTTGGCCAAATTTTATAAAATGAACAACAATTCACCAAAGAAACTTACAAGAAAATAATAACTAATATCAGTCTCTATAACTAAACTGACTTTAAGTTTGGAATCTCTACAGGCAAACTAAGAAAAAAAAAAAGCTATACTAACAAAACCTTTTGGTATTTTTGAGATCGAAAAACCTCGACAATCTTGAAATTTCAAAATCATACAAAAATAGGTAAAAAAACCACATTTAAAACCAAATATTTTGTGGTAGTCAATGTGAAAATGTCGACCTACATGCCCAAATCTCTAGCAGACTCAACAATAGGAATCGCAAACTCCCACCCACAACAAATGAGAGACCAAACATCGGCCAACACATAACAATTCATGAACAAATATCAATGTTATTAAAATAATTATAGAACAAGGGACACATTATCGGTTCAACTCAACACACTAATTTACCAAATTTGATTTAGTCGATACATGATTTAAGAGAGCCCTCCAAACTAAAATATTATAACAAATCTATTACATTGTGGAATTAGTCACAACTTCCAAACTAACTTTATCAATATAATTTATAGTGGATCATATTGTACACTATTGCCACTAATTTAGATACAAAACTCATTTTTTTATGTACCGAAGGAACAAACAAACCAATAAACTAAATAAAAGCCAAAAATTATAAATTTCCACAGATACCCCTCTATGCGAACTCTAACCCTAGTAGTGATTTTGAACGTCAATCCTTTAGGAAACAACTTGTATCGTTTTCTAGCAAAATGAATCTTAAAAGACAATCTTTAAGGGAGGACGAAATCGTTTCTCTCCTCCCGCTCAAGCCGCTGGACCCAAGGTGAAGGGATTCGAACTCGCCCAAGTCGGATGCCTCCCAACCCGTCTTCCCCAAATTTCTTCTTTGGTTTCTACCTCCAGTGGGTTCCTCAAACCGAAACACCCTTCTCTTTATATCTTGCTCTCCTCCGACTTATCCCTCTCCTCCTCCAACCCACTACGACTCCTTACCCCCTTGGAGGAATATCACTAATCCAAACATCCTTCCAAAATGTAGTCTTCAATCCATTATCAACTTGTTTCATGAGATGAGAATGTAAAATAAAACATTTATCATGTAACTGATTTATAGAACCAACAATCTTTCACAACACACGATTTGAATTTAACTTTTCATGCGACGAAAAAAACCAACCATACCACCATGAATAACTTTAATGAATTTAAGTTATAGAAAATTAACAAAATTAACAAATTTTTAAGACAATTTTTGTTATATCACCTTTAACCTAACTATTCTTTATTCGAAGTCAAAACTATTTTTCCATTTAACCCAACTAATATTTTTTTTCAATCGTTTTCGCCTCCATAGAAAAAACGAGACCTAAGCATTTTTAAAAATGGATATTTTATTCGGAACTTTGAAAATTGACATAAAATAGATCTCTGAACCTACCAAAACCATCTTTAAAACAATAGTAAGACATTTGGTTTGCAAATAGCCAAATATATCAAAGGAATTATAGTGTAGCTAGATGAAGGCCACACACGCTATTGGCGCGGGTTTGAATGGTCAGTAGTTTAAAGAAGAATGTTTTTTCTTAGAGTAGAAATTGGAAAAACTCCACATAATACCAGTAGAAAGTTACAAAAAAATTTATTACAGCAGAATTTGAAAAAAATTCAGCCAATAGCACAACAAACTTAGCAAATTGAATGACTCTCAAACCAAACATGCGCATAGGCAGCTGCAACAAATGAGGAAACACACCAACAATCCCTTCTCCCTCATTGCTTACCTCCGACAGATAGGAGATATCATGGAAGCACA